CTTAGGTACTCATTTCTGTTTAATGTTGCTCTCTCCCTTCATAAAACACCAAATATTCCAGTTACACCCTATGGGATGAACTATTGAATCTAGCCAGATTTTAATGGTCAGATAAATGGTGGTTGGCTGATATATACTGTTCATCCTTTTGTTTCTTTCAATTTTACCATTCTTGGACATAACATGAATAAGAAAAGACAAATTCCATTTCATTAAACATTAATTTATGGCTGGTACACTGTAATAGTTAAATAAATAAATATAAACACCTCCAAACATTAAAAAAATAATCTTTTCTCTAACATCTTTCTACTCAATCACAAGACTGTCCTTAGCACAAAAAAATACACGTCTCCACAAATGGAAAGATACTACATGGCTCCTTGAATTTTCTTTTTTCAAATTGTAAATTATACAACAAAAAAATTTTTAAAAATAAATAAATACCTTATGGGATGGGATAAAAGACAGAAATAAATATCTCATAATTGTTTTTCCATCAGACATATCAAGTTATTTTAGTTATTTGATGTAGAATATTTGGGGTTTGAATTGGTAAAAGACAATTATTTTTAATTTCCTGGTGACAATTTCAGACTTCAATATTTTGATTATATTATTTTACTCTCACTTCTTTAGGTATTGCACAGATATTAAAAAAAAAATACAATTTTAATATAGAGATACCCAACCCTCGAGATCTAACAATTAAATCAAAGTGTGTGTGTGGGAGACGGGTGTTAAATACTTTCACTTCTTTTTCCATAGTAGTCTTTAAATGGAGGTTCAATACTTCACAGCCACAATATTTTCAACCCCTTATAAAATGTTGTGGGGTTGAACATTTCCCTGCCAAAATATCTTGAACCCCCTCTTACCATTCAAAAATTATTTTCAATAATTTTTAAACACCCTCCTATACACATATATGTCTAATAGGGGGTACAACATTTTACAGCCATAAATCCTATCTTAAACCTCCACCCAAACCTACCCAATAAAAATTAAAATTAGAAGGTACAACATTTCAGCGCCATAATCTCAGGAAACCCTATGCTTTAAACAGAGAATGTCTGTAATGGGGTTCAAAATATTATGGCCATAATGCTATAATATAATGAACCCGGGGTTCAAAATATTATGGCCACAAGGCCATAATATATCGAACCCGGGGTTCAAAATCTTATGACCCTAAGGCTATAATATATTGAACCCCGGGTTCAAAATATTATGGCCATAATATTTTGAACCCCGGGATCAATATTTTATAGGGGGGTTCAATAATATTTCGCAGCGATATTTAGAACCCGGGTTCAAAATATCGCGGGGTTCAATGTATTATATGACACTGGTTCAACTGGGAAAAATTAGCATCGAAGTAGAACAAAGGAGTAAGGAGAATTTTCTGTCATTTAAACTTGACAAATGTAATGTATTTTGTGTTTATTCGTTCTCATTACCTATTACTCCATGTTTTAATGGATTAACAACAATTATTTATTGTTTTTCATATCAATGTCCCTTGCTTTCACATTTCCATGCTTTCAATTTGTCAAAATGTATGACACTACGCTGTTTACACCACAGGTCCCGCCATCCATTATGACTGATCTCTACTTTCGATTTAAGCGGAAGTGAAACATTTAGTCAATTTTTACAATGTTTCATATGAAAAGAAATACGATGTCATCTTAGTCTGTTGCTTGGCAGTTGAATTGGGAATTTTTGTCTCAAAATTGGGAAAAATTAACTTTTTTTGGCATTGGGAATGGTACCGTTTATCGGTACCAGATATATAAGGAAAAGAAACGCTGATACATCCATGTAGATTCATTATGGTATAATTCTGAGATATAAGAATCACAAAATTCCACAGCACCCCCCACCCATTTAAATGAAATTATCACTCCTTTAACATGTTTATAAATCTTACATTCATGCCCACTTTCAATTCTTATCATTTGTAGTGCAAAATGGCAAATGTTTTGGCTGCAGTCATATGTTCTTTGCACAAGCGGAATATTGTAGACGTATCATGATACTTGCTTTGTCCTTGTTTGTTTTAGGATGATCTATCCACATACATGCACAATATTTGCTTGTCTCTCCAGTAAAAAAAAATGTCATCACGATGACTTAAAGCATATATAAAGGTTTTAACAAGTAGAGTTTATCACAATTTCCATTTCTACACACCAATACAACATAAAAGGCCTTAGCACAGGGGCTATTTGCTTGTTCAGGCTGGATTGTTGTTTTTTTTCTTACATTCAAAGATTTTCCACTTTCACAGCGCAATGATGTTCCACAACAACTCCCTAGGTTCATATAAAATGACCCTCTTTATTCCATGCTGATATACCTGTCATTTTCACCCAATAACACTAAAGAGTTCCAACAAAGGGAGATAACAATTTAACTCCAGGAAATTGGTTGCAGGGAGCTAAAATAGGCAATAGAAATTTAAATGAAGCATCTTAATCAGTTATTCCTATTTTAAAAAGATATATTAGATTTAGAATCTTCTTTTTTTTAATTTAGATATTTTTTAAAAAGTCTATAAATATGATTATAGACTGTTATTTAAAATATGTGAAATTGTAGCGAAGTGGAGTATTTCAAAGTTAATTTTCAACATGTAGATATTATTTCCCAAGCTCAATATTTCAATATGTAGTCATGGTAGTAGACCTAAGATCATTCTAAAGATTACACTTATTTTAATTTAATTTTTAATAGGGATGGGTATCATCAAAATTTCATATCGTGATATATCATGATTTTTTCCCAAAATATCGCAATAACATCGGAATATTTTTACATGGAATTTTTACTTCATTTTCAAATGAATTCCCATAATTTTTCTTACAAATACACTGCAAAAATATAACTTTACTTTTTTCCATGTTTATTTATGTAATATAAAGCATGTCTGGATGCCTTAGTTTAACTTTATTCAACATTTTTTATATTTTCTGTAATTTCTATTTTAAATTAATAGTTTGAACAAATAAGCATGATAAATAAGTAATTTCCAGAATTAATAATTATGTACCAAATACCGGTATTATATTCTCCATATTAAATTAAAAATCCCGATGTATCGGTATATCGATAAAATCGCACATCCCTAATTTTTAATTGGTATTGAGAGAAAATAGCACCTCAAAATGGCTAAAAAATCATACTCATTAATTTAGGATCTATAAATAGACCTTTAAAAAAACATTCATTTGAATTAATTATGCTTTTCTTCATTAATCATATAAACAAGACCAAGATTTTGAAAAGAAAAAATTTGAAAATAAACTGATGGTAGAAGGTCACTTTTTTGGATTAATCATTTTGACAATGTATGGTTTTTCCGTATAATTCAGTGTGATTTTCGACAAATATGCAAATGAGCCATTACTAAAAAAAGATGCGAGCTTCGGCAATTTTTTGTAGATATTCTGACTTCTACTTTTATGTAGAAAATTTTAAGCCACTCGAAAATCCTATGTTGCAATTAACCTTCCATGTGGACGATTTTTTAAATTTTGCATGGTTTTTCTCCCGGACTGGCTCTTAAAAAGCTAAGTACGAGGTAGATCGAAATAGTCTTTGGACTGGACCTGTCCAAATTTTATTTCTTAGTTGTTGTTTTTTCATTATTATACGAGTCAACAGACAGACAGACTGTCCATTAAAGGACTTATCGCATGTTCCTAAATTATTTGAATTAAAAGCGTAAAACGTTCCTTATGACAGTTTATAAATTTTGTGTTTTTACTGTGGATAAACCACAGTAATTAACCAATTATTGAAAATGAAAGCCCCTGAATTAAAATTCTAAGATAATTAGATAGCGATCACATGACCCTGTGACATCAAAGGCGACAATGGCTGATCAGCTCTTCACGTAAATCTTACTAAAATATACGCGATACGACCTGAATTTTCTGCGTTATGGACAACCAAATCACTGATTTTATCGATATGAAATTTCATATCCAACCTTCTATTTTAGAATTGTCAGCAAGAAATAATCTGAAAAATCCGTTAACATTGTAAAAATAGCAGCGACGATAGCGAGGGAGAAGCAGCGAAGACGAATAAACTCGCCATCACAATACAATTTGATTTGTCATTTTATCACATGTATTAACTTATTTGATTCACAAATTTAATATTACATAACTTTATTATTCTTCGTTTTCAACATAATATTAATTTATGCAAGTATGCTTTCATATGTTTTGTAAAGGATGGCGGTCTTGAAAAATAATTTTCCGATCACGAAACATTGCCGTAATCAGACCTACAGATTCTAAATGTTCGGAATAAAAAACGAAAATATCTCAAAATTCTTATACCTTAGAACTAGTTAATGTTTCTATAGTAATTGAAAATCACGTTAGAAATTATTTATTTCAGCATTTTTCATAATTAAGCTGTATTTATCGTTGATAACTTCGTAAATAGTGTGCAACTTCTCATCTCTCTATCACTGAATTGTCGCCTATGACGTCAGAGCAGTATTTCGCCGAAATCCGACTGAAATATGCATATTACCATATTTGAATTTCAACTCTCAATATCTCTTAGAATATGCTTTCAACAACGTTTATTGTATTCATAATTTTAATAAACAAGGTTGTACATAATATTTTTCATAAAATTAAGATTTTTGAAAAATCATGCGATAAGTCCTTTAACAAAAAGGATATGTGCTATGTACAGGTCTGTAAAATCACTAGATTTAGCTACGTAGCTTGAATTACCTACATAGCTTTATTTACCTACCTGAAATAGCTTTATTTAGCTACTAAATCAAACTTATTTCTTAAATTAGCATTTCTCCCAGAAAATTGCACTTTGATGCAGTGATAATTTTCAACTTTGGACTCATCTGAAAACAATTCATGAAAAAATCACTCTCGGAGATGTAACGTTATCCTTATAAATTTTTGGAGAATACCGCGACGGAGTCACGGGACGGAGCTTTTTTAAACACCTACCCGGATCAAGATCACCTGTCATATCTCTCCCTGTTCCCGTTGGATCGATGAGTGTATCCAAGACAGTTTCTTTTACCGAGATATCCTCTATATTCCCCGATGTCTTCGAGTGAATGCCTCTTAACACTTCGTTCTTCCTGAAATCTTTTAAGTGAGGCAATTTCTTTATGTAGGTGGTTCGATTAAAACCACAAAATTCAGCATCAGTTAGAAACTTCCGACATGCACAATATGTATTTCCTTTGAGAAACCTTCGTAGCATGTACATTGTTGATTTCATAATAAACATTTTTTTCTCAAAACACATGGCACTGACATTGCTTTCAATGTCTATTTAAAGCTTGGAAGAATGTTGTAAAAGTAGGATAAGAAGGGTAACGGGACATTTCGCTCCTATGGACAATACCTTTTCCCCAAAACGTTTCGCGCCGAGTTGTTTCGCACCAAAGATAATCTATATTATATCTATAGCATTTAATATTTATTAGATTGATGAGAAATCGGCATTTCTGATTGGTTGAAAAAATTCTTTGATTCCTGCATCAATAAAATTTTCATAAATTTTGCTGGTTGACTTTACATAATTCCCTAGATAGAACGTTCAGGGACCTATATACTACATAGTATATAAGTCCCTGGAACGTTCTATTGTTTAAATGATATTGTCCTACATTGTCAATACACGGAGCAAATTCGTTCCGTGTATCATCCTCGCAAGCCAGGGTTCCTGAGTCAACACGTTGCCGTTGCCGTCCAACGGCAACGTGTTGACTCAGGACCCCTGGCTTGCGAGGATGTCCGTGTATTGGCAATGTAGCAAAATAAACACGGGCGATAACTTGAACTCTGTGCATTTTCTATGAACAATCCAGAGAGTTCCGAATGTCAACATGGCGTGTAAATTTGAAGCGAGGAAAATACGTTGAGAAAATGAGTTGAATTTTTGTATCTATACGGATTATTTTTTAGGTTAAAAGGCATACACAATCTCAAAAAGGTTTGTTATGATGAATTTGGTAGTTTTTAGTCCCCTACCTCGAGGGGACTATAGGTTTCCTCTGAGTCTGTCCGTCCGTCTGTCTGTCTGTCCCACTTGGTTTTCCGCACTTTTTTCCTAACTGCTTGCAGATATTGAGCTGATTTTTGGTATGTGAGTGTATCTTGATGAGTTACAGATCAAGTTTGCATTTCGTTCCGCTTCATTGATTTTTTACGGAATTATGGCCTTTTCAATTTTTAAGGGTTTTCCGCAATTTTCTTCTTAACGCTTTCAGATATTGAGCTGATTTTTGGTATGTGACTTAACCTTGATTAGTTATAGTTCAAGATTGCATTTCGTGTCCCTTCATTGATTTTTGACGGAATTATGGCATTTTCAATTCTTAACGGGAACCAGATTACACTTGCCGGTAGGGGACTAGTATTGCTAAGGCAATACTCTCAGAATGCGGTAAGGGACTATTATTGCTAATGCAATACTCTCAGAATGCTTGTTTTCTGTGCAACTCCTTTTGTATTCTTCAAAATCATTTCGGAGCGGATCCGCTCCGATTTGCTATATTGCAAGTACACGGGACGTATTCTAACTGTGATGAGGGCTTGTCCCGAGACACAGTTAGATTATTCTAATAATTCCCCTTCCAGAGTACTTTAAAGAAAAAAGAAATAATTTTACGCTATTTTCCTGAATTTCAAAACTTGTCCGATACGTTCCCGAGTTACATGTATTTTCTACTTTCGATTCTTTTTTCGAGTTACCCCCCCCCCTTTACTAAGCAAATCGGATCGTTTACATGACAACAATGTACATTTTATAGCTGTTTTACTGAATATACAGATGTTAAATGCCTGCCTTTGAGGTACCCGGTATGAACAACAAAACTGTCAGGAATTTTTTTTTTTCTTTTTTTTTCTTTGCTACCAAAGCGGTAAAATGCACGTACAATTAAGTTTTTTAGATACCTCAGAGAACTCTTGAGAACCTAAAGAACTCTACCTCTTTTTGGTGAGTTCAATTAAATTTTATGCATTTTTTTGTAATTACTTTATATATATCATATCTTCTACTGACAAAATTAATTACAAAGTTATTAACCGGAAGGGGATTATAGGCTTCTTCCTAGTCAGTCCGTCTGTCTGTATAGCTGTCCTCTGTCTAGCTGTCCGTCTGTCTGTTTGTCTGTCCCACTTAGTTTTTTTTTCCGCATTTTTTTCCTAAACGCTTGCAGAGCTGATTTTTAGCATGTGAGTCTACTTTGATGAGTTACACATCAATGCATTTCGTTCCGCCTCGATGATATTTAATGAAATTAAGCTTAAGGCCTTTTTTTATAAATAATTTATGCTGTATATTGGCACTATTAACTATTTTGTAAAGTAGGTCAAAGGTCAAGAGTCACGAGGTCGCATCAAATCTATATCTCAAGAGATTACAGTTCTTGAGATACAAGCTAAGGTGTGACAGTCGGACGGACAGACAGGCACAGACAGACGCCGGGTAAAGTGATCCCTAAGTGCCGCTCTGCTCTGCAAGCGACACAATAATTTAAATACTAGTAGCTAGGTGCTCAGACGCTGCTCATCCCATAAATGGCCTATTTAGACCTAATTAAGGTCAGGCGACACGTTCCTCAAAAAATAGATAATTTCTCCCAAGAATTGTCAATGAAGTATTGTTTCTTTAACAAGTTTCCTCACAAAAATTGGGATACCTTACCAGGCATTCGTGCAACGGTGCAAGATACCAAAGGATGGTGTTTCTTATATAATTCTATAGGAAATGACTTACATAGCCAATATCACAATTGTTCGTGTATTCATTTTTAAAATAAATTTTGGAACAGTTTAGAAATCATAAAAAATGATAATTACAAACATATTTTTTTGTATATTACGAAGAGATATAAAACAGATGTTTGAGGAACGTGTCGTCACACCTTAATGTCTCAAACAATATATTTTTGATGGCGGAAATAATTGAAAGGTGATAAGGTAATTTAAATTGTTTGCCAATTCTAAAAGCAAAAGAAGAGAGAGAGACAGAGATAATTTAAAGTTCTATAAAAATGTTAACATTTACATGTATTATTTACAATATGGCCATCGGGATATAGGGCGAACGGGAAATACGGCGAAGGGACTCGTGCGAACAGGGTACAGAGGGCGAACCGACCAATAAACCGATAGGTACCTGTACACTGTATATATCACAAACCAAGCTGCACTAGTATGAAGATTATATGCGCCAAATTTGCATATATTTGCAATTATAGGGATAAGTGCTGATTTAATATGAAGATTATTATTAGGCCTATTATAAATTTACGTAAGTTGAACTTGTTTTACAAAAATCCAAAATTTGAAGCGATCGTGTGACGAGGATTTGGGCAAGCGGTAAGTTTAGTACTCCAGACTCTCTGGAGTTTTTTTGGGGGGGTATTGCTAAAACGGAACGGAAAGGAAAACAGAAAATCTTATATCAAGTTATTTACTTCACACATCTATAAATCACACAGGAACCAGAATTCTTTATCTAATATTTCATATCTAATTAAAAATTATAATGACAATGTGATTTATTCAATATTTTTCTCCTCAGATTACCATGTAGTATATACATGCGATAGTCAATGAAATACATACTAATTAGACACTTAGCCCAAGTACCTATCTGAATGTCTCATTTATCACTCGTCCAAAACTGATTAAAAAAACATATTCATGAAAGACAAAACTCTCTTTTTTAATTGATCATTCAGTTTATGAAATGGACAATGTTGTTTCGAAACAGAGAGGGGGGGGGGGGTCAGAGAAAGATAATAATGATGTACACATTTTTGTTCGAGACAACGGGCATTAAGGAGAGAATAAAGACAGATTACTTACAAATTACAACTACAGGCATGCGCGGATCTACAAGGGGTTGGGATTGGGGGGGGGGGAGGGTTCGGACCCCTGGAATTTGTGGAGTTATTAAATGCAAATGCAAATAAAAACTAGAAATCTGCTATTGCAAGCAATAGCGTATGTCACCCCGAACTGAACCATAAGCTGTAAGATTGTTCCAACGCTTAAAAAAGTATTTGTAGAAAAAGCCCCCCCCCCCTCCTTTCCCACACACGCAATATAAATTATTATCTAGAAGAAAATTGTTTTTGAGAGATCTGATTGGAGTAAAATAAAACAACTAATTTTTCTCTAATATCCTATGATAACAAGGGGATCTTCCGTAGAAGACGTAAGACCTTAATTTAAAGAAAGCAAGGTTCACGTCAAAACATGGCTGAAGCAAAATAATTCCTGAATTTTCCTCTTCAAATTGGGCATTTTTACATAGGAAAGGGGCTATTTTTTATGACATGATAAAGTATGTGTAACTTTCTTAGTTAAGCAGAATCATGAACGTACATTCCCGGCGTGCTAAACAGTAACGATGAGGCCATCACGCACGTGCAGGAGCGGATCCCAATTCAAATTAATGAAAAAAAAAATAATGGAAATTAAATTTTAATGATTCTAATAACTATCATTGAATTAAATTATTCATATGCAAGTAATATATTAACAAGAAATTGTGAAGTGCTAATGAACACAGCTGACAATCGCTACTTTTTAAAGATAATTTAATTGTAAATAAAATTATTATCAATTCTATAGACAAAACAGAAGAAGACTAAATGCTGCCAAAATATCAGATCACATCAGCGGAATTGAATTTTATTCATGAAACTCTTAAGATCTTCTTCTATTGTAAGTTTTATATCTGTGTATTGACCTACCTGTCTTTAAAAAGGGGCGGGGGGGGGGGGGGTAAACTATGACATGGTCTTGTACATTTAAAAAGAGGGAAATAAAAATAAAATGCACCCACCAGATATATACCATATATGATCCTTTTTTAGTTAATAGACACTCGTTCCTATGGCATTAGGAAGGTTTTCCGTCTCCTCACTGTAACCAGAGAAGTTTTAACTCTACACTTCGTTCCATATGTATTGCTGCGCTTTAGTTCCCGTAAACTACTTAAATGAGAGTAAAATGAATAGTTTGTAGTGTTTAAGGAACGCTGGCCCTACGTTTTTTTTTTTTTTTTTTTTTGAAATGCTAAGATATTTTATTTCTTCTTAATCATATCAAGAAAGTGGTAATATATATAAGCTGTATAGATAAGCCTTTACGTACCCTAGGAATATTAGGAAAAAAGAAATTAGGAAGACAAAGAAATTGAATAATTTATAGCTTTAAAAAGATCAAGCATAAACGTTTATACAACGTTATTGGTCGCTGGTATCAAGAAAATGCAAATATGAATTTTTCATTTTTTAAATAAACATATCCGCACAACTTTACGTGTTGACCTTTATTTCTGTGAAGTTTCATAAAGATTTTCTAAGCCTTCTACGAGAACGCTCCAAGACAAAAGTAAGGTGAATAAAAAACAATTAGTGGTCCCGACTTCCTTCCGCTGACCATCAATTCCATTTAATGCAGAAACCACTTTGATACATTGAAAGGATTAAACCAATAAAGTTTTGAAAAGTTTGCTTTGTTAGTTACAGAGAAAAATGAAAATTTTAAAACAATCACATTTTCCCTGTTTCCATGGCAACGATAGGAATTTAGAAAATTTTGCATGTTGACTGAACAAATAGAGTGTCTAATTATAATTTCTGTAAGTTTTCATCACAATTGTCCAAGCCACCTCGGAAAACATCTGTGTGAATATTAACTTTTTTCTGTTTCTTTCATTCCTTTGGCAACTGTTTGCAAAAGATTCTAATTTTTAAAATAGAAATTACTTTGACAGAATGTAAGGAACAATCCTTATAAGTTTCAAAATAATTGCCTGAGCAGTTTGTGAGAAAATCAAAGTTTAGCAAGTTTTACTTTTCTTCTATTTCCATGGCAACGATGGATGGTTTGAAAATTTTAAATGCGATTTGCAAAACTACAATTACTGGTTATCATTTCTATGAAGATTCATTACGATTGTCTAAGATATCAATGAGAACGCTTCTGGACAAAATTCTTCACTTTTCGTACGTTTCCATGGCAACGGTAGCCATGTTGAAACTGAAAATTGTTTGCACATATATACAGCTGGTCGTCATGTTTTATGGAAAGTTCCAACAACAATGCCCCAGCCATCTGCGAGAAAGTCCCCGGACAACGTTTTCATGCGTACAATAACAATATGTCCCCCGACTTCGTTCGGGGTGACATAAAAATGATCTTGGAGACACACACCCCCTCCCCCCCCCCCCCCCCCCGTTAAGTTTAAGAAGTGAAGGAAAACGGCTTATGACCCCCCTTTTTCCATAAATTTTTTTTTAAGTGTTTGGAAAATGAGTTTACCCTTTTTTTTTGCTTGTCAACAAATTTCTGGCTTCATTTTTTTTTTAACTGAGGCGGAATCCCTTCCTGGAAAAAAAAATCCTGGATCCGCGCCTACACTGGACTGTTGATGCTTTCCACAGGCACCTGAAGCGTGAATAATGTACATCTATGCATCAACCACCCCCCACCCCTCCATTGTCTAAATATAACTAACGAATGTATAATTTCTCGATAATGTCTGATTTCCCATCAATTCAATCTTTATGTTATTCTGTGCAATCGGTTTGTGCTGTTTTTCAGTTTAACAGTTTGGCCAAGTACAGGGGGTGGGGGGTGGGGGGTTATGATGAGATGTACGTTATCAACGCTTCAGGTGCCTGTGCATATGCATCGAAAGCTATGTTGTCTTCGCTCATATACTGGCCATTCATACTGATCAGAGTGGTCTTTTATAAAGTTATTTACTCGTAATTTACCACAACGACATTTTATATGTACGGCATTATATTTTCTGTTCGGTTTTGCGTACCTTATGTTTACTTTTTTCCAGGGATCTTCAAATGAGAATAAACATGACTTAATTAACTAGTATTTGATAATCAAGGATTAAATATGAACAATTTATATAATGTAAATCATTTTTGGTAAGATTTGTGTATTTGTAAAGTGTTTTAACCTGGTACAATATTTTCCGTTCCGTTCCGCTTTCCGTTCCGCGTTTTTAGCAACACCCGGGTTTTTTAAATATTGATATTCTTCATTAGGCTGTACAGAATTGCTTTATACTTGCCAGGCACATTTTGTGGGTTACGTATACATAATTATATCAACAATGTTACTTAAAATATGATAAATGAAGAACTTTTGATTTTCGACTCCCAATCTGTACGAAATGTTCCACGTGGAAAACAGGCGTAATCAAGACGGAATTCTTAGTAAAATTCCAGGCGTTAAACTTAATATAAGCGGAAATCAAGCAGAAACCAAGCGGAGACTGGCCGGAAATTTGAGGCGAAATATTAGCTCCGCCTGGAAATTGAAATTCCACCTGAAACAGGATTCCGCCTAAATAGAGATTCCGTCTCAACTATCCAACGTATTAATCACTCCTTGACCCACAAACCTATTTCAACAAAAATTATTGTTCAGTTTATTTATATTTAAACGGAAATCCTTGAGAACACGCGCATGCACGTGTACTGCAATTTGATTGGCTGATAATTTAAAGGGCTTTAACTTCTTTATTTTTCCACAAAACAGGGTGAAATTTAGAATATAGATAGCTATAATTTGTTCCTACATTACGGTACTTTCACAATTGCACACAAGGACATGCATGCACGTGTGCTAAATTCTGATTGGCTTAGACCCTATTGGCTGTAACTCTATTACAGTAACTATTTGAAATGATAACTTTGATATTTAAGACATAGGTATATATTGTGAAACACTAGAAGGATATATATGTGAGTAATCTAGAAAATACGCATATGCATGTGAGCTGAAATGTGATTGGCTAAGATTTGTAAATGGCTATAACTCTTATTTTTCTAGAAACAAGACGAAATTCATAGTAGATGTTAATATTATGTCTCTACCTTATGATTTTTTCAGAAATGAATACGAGGACACACATGCAAGAGTGCTGAATTCTAATTGGTTAATATTCCGATTGCTAGAATTTTCTATGTTTTCAGTAAATTCTTCGAAATCTAAAATGTAGCTCTACATTATGATATGAGATGAGATGTTGTTTATGGTAATTTTTGAAAACACATACTTGCACGTCCACTGAAATTTGATTGGCTTACACTCCTTTTGTGCATTATTTTAAAAATACTTTGGAAAATAAGTTAATTTGTAATTAAGTCTGTGATACAAAGAATCTGCCTTATTCAATGAAACTTACAGAAAATGGGGCACCAAGAGGGAGTAGGGGAGCGTTTGTAGATCGTTTGTAACGATCTCCGTTACAATTAGAACTATTTAACTTTTGTATTTCACCAATCAAAAGCTTGTAGTGTTGTTCCTTGATGACAAATAATTCCAAGCGGAATTTCTATTTATATTTTCCAGCTATTTTCCCCCTGAACTAATTTCAGCCTAGAATTTGATGACCGGAATTTGCATGCCAAGAAAAGGTACGCATTCCACTTTTAAAGCGAACTCAATAAAAGCGGAATTAGCGTTAATCTGTGATTTTTCCCCAGGGAGATGTGCGCGAGGTATGCAATTAATGTCAGCAGTTTTGAGGAAGGGATCTTAAGTTTTACTGGTTTTAAATTACAGCTAAAATACTTATTATTTAGAAGCCTTTGCACCTTCCCCCCTTTTTTAGTGGGGGGTGGGGGAATTTTTCCATGCAAATCATATGCTGTTAAAAAAGTAAAATAGAAGAAAAAGAAAGTTTAGTAAATTATAGTAAACTGATTAATTGTTCAGTAAATATTAGACGCCTTTCAAATTTTTCAGTGTTTCTATATCAAAATATTTTGTTCGTAGTATATTTTTTTTTTTTAATTTCCTTCCAGTCTATTTTTACAATTTTGGTACCTGTGTCTAGTGCATTTTACATACTTTGTAAATAAATAAAGGTTTCTGACAGGAACTTTTTTTTCAGGGCATAGGAGGCTACTTCCTGGGGTAGAAGTTTATTCTTCTTTTACTAAGAAAACTGAAAACTTAAGAATACACCCCCCTCTTGTCTCATCAGCGTTAGAGGAATATGGGTGATTTGCATCACTTTTATTGGCTCCATCGCTGTGGAAAAATGGACGGGATTTCTTGACATATTAAATTTATGCGGAATCTTTTAGACGGAATTTCAGAAAGTTCCGCCTCCTCCTGTATTACGCCTGGAATTTGTGGATTCCAAGCGGAATGTTAATACAAAATTAATATTCTTCATTTAAAAAAAAATTAAATTAAATTAAAAAAATCTCTAACAACTTTCCTTGGTTTACGTTAATTCCAACATACATAACCTTATTCAACAATTCTAAGTATGATAATGTCTTCTGTCCAAAAGTTTAGTGTAAATGCAGAAAACAAATATCGGCCTGCTCAACTTAGACCATAAATGTGTAACAGGGGATGAGAAAATGCAACGGACCAGACCGGGATTCGAACCCGGGCTTCCTGAACCTCCAGGTACTTTACCAAATGAGCTATCCGGCCACCATCGATTGAACCCGTCAGACCGCCACAAATGCCATCATTCGTAACATTTTTGATATTTTCATATTATTGTGAATTTAGTCAAACATAATAAATGTGTCTGATATTTGAACCGAATCTGTTAAGCGACGTAAAATTTATTTCAACTTAGAAAATGTGCTTGAAAAATTTGAAGAAATTCTCTACATTGATAATAAAAATATCAATAAAAAAAAAACGAAATCCGGGACAGCTAGGAGTCGGGAAGTACTTAATTTACCGCTTGCCAAAGATTGTCAACAATACTAGTTTTACCGCCTGCCTAGGAATAACTTTCCGATAGGCTATGTCGAAATTGGGAAATGACTGATCATGATTGAATACACTCATATACTTCAACAACTAACAGTTATTTCAGTAAAGCGTAAATTCATTTCATTTATCTTAAACGGAGAGTTATTTATAATCTGGTACCCTCCCCGCAAATCTGTTTGCGCTTTATGGGAAGGGTACCAAACCGGGTTATTTATAGGTTACAGATCACATGACAAAACATTGTGATCATGGGTTGGAAATGGAGATGACATTTCTTATCAAGTGTTGTAAGTTTTATAATACTTTAAAGATTTTTTTTTAACATTTTCTATTTGAGTTGCACACTGGGAAAAGGTATGCTTTATTCATTGGTTGAGATTATCGGCTAAACCAAATGTCCATATGAACGAGAGGTGGAAAATTTAAGGTTGTGTGTTTGTCATATAAGGTCCTTGAAGACTCGGATATTCTGTTTATTATACTCAAAACTTGGGGACAAGCTGGGGAGTTTTTTGAGTTACTTCCTTTTCGACTTAAAAATGCCAAATATAGAACAAAGTAGAAAATAAACAAAAAACAAATGAAATAATAACAACAGGCTTATTCAGAAAATGTGTGGTGTCACGTACCCGCTGAAGGAAGAAGGGGGAGTAAGAACTGATGGAGAAAGAAAAAAGGCCAACCTCGACCTTTCAGCTTTTGGCCTTAAAGTCAATAGAAGTCTTTTTAAAATTAAAGAAATTCGTGACCAAAAGTTTTATGCAAAGCTATATATAATATAATAATAATATATATAATATAAAAATATTGAAAAACTGAAATTATTATCTGAAAACTAGATATGCAATATATATTTTTGCCCCTGACCTTTGATCTTTTGACCTCGAAATTTATATGGTTTTTCTTTTTGGTCATGAGGAGTTGTGATATAAAAATTCTTGGAAATTCTCAAAGGCTTTACAAGAAATAGTTTGGAAGTTTTACATAGACAAATATATGCATTTATGACCTTGACTCCTGACCTTTTGTCTTCAAAATTGATAGAGTTCTTCTCCTTAGGCCATAGGGATTTGTGTTATTAAAATTTTATTAAAGAAAACTAAAGTTGTCATCTGGAAAATGTGATTTGCAATGTAAGAATTTATGACCCCTAACCTTTTTGACCTCAAAATCAAAAGTCTTCTTTGGGCCATAAGGAGTTGTGCTATATTATTTCATTGCAAAAGCTCATAGACTTTATTAGATATCTTCCAGAAATGAAAGTGTTATGCACAAACAGAATGTATGGATTTATGACCTTGACCTTGGACTTTTTGACCTCAAAATTTTTTTCTTACTGTTTTTGTTCACCCAAGACTTCTGATCTAAATTTCTGTCGATTAGCATCACTTCCGATCAAACCAGAAGTAGTCATAAATTACTTTATTTCACTAAATCAGCCTACATTTCAATCATAAAGATATACTCAATACAAACGACATCATTTTTCGTCTAAATGCCTCCATTTTAATGAATGGTCTACCTTCTTTTTCCCATCTTACAAGCAGTGATACTGAAAATTGGACAGAAGACTTACTCGTTGCTTTGCAACGAGCTTTGCTCTAGTTAAGGTCTTCCGTCTCCAAGAAAGACCTTTTAGTGATTCTATTGTTTCTTACTATGTCACCCTGAATGAAGTCAGGGGTCATATTGCTATATACGCATGAAAACATTGTTCACAGACTTTCTTGCAGATGGGTGGGGCAATGTTGCTGAAACTTTCCATAAAAGATGACGACCAACTGTATTTGTGCAGAAAATATTTTTCAGTTTCAACATGGCTACTGTTGCCATGGTAACGTATGAAAAGTGAAAAATTTTGTCCAAAAGTGTTCTCGCTGATCCCTTAGACAATGGTAATGAAACTTCATAGATATGATAAACGGTAATTGTAGTTGTGCGAATCGCATTTAAAATTTTCAAACCACCCACGCCCATGCTGCCATGGAAGTAGAAAAGTAAAAACTGTTTAACTTCGATTTTCTCACAAACTGCTCAGGCAATTATTTTGAAACTTGTAAGGATTCTGTCAAAGTAATTTCTGTTTTAAAAATTAGAATCTTTTGCAAACAGTTGCCATAGGAATGAAATAAACAGAAAAAGGTGAATATACACACAGATGTTTTCTGAGGTGGCTTGGACAATTGTGATGAAAAATTTACGGAAATCATGATTAGACACTCTATTTGTTCAGTCAACATTCAAAAATTTCTAAATGCCCATCGTTGCCAAGGAAACAGGAAAAAAGATGAATTTTTAAAAATTTTTCTCAGTAAGTAACAAAGCAAACTTTTCAAAACTTTATTGGTTTAATTCTTTCAATGTATCAAAGTGGTTTCTGCATAAAATGGAATTGATGGTCAGCGGAAGGAAGCTAGGACAAGTAATTGTTTTTTAATTACCCTATTTTTGTTTTGGAGCATTCTCCATAGAAGGCTTAGAAAATCGTCATGAAACTTCACATAAATAAAGGTCAACACCTATAGTTGTGCGGATATATTTCTATGTGTCGATGTGTATTTTAAAAACTGAAAAAATCGTAATTGCATTTTCTTGATAGGAGTGGCCAAAAAATGTATATACGTTTATGTTTGATCTTTTTAAAGCTATAAATAATTCAATTTCTTTGTCTTCCTAATTGGTTTTTCCTGTAATATTCCTAGAGTACATAAAGGTACATCTATGAAGCTTTTATATATTACTATTTTTTTGATATGATTAAGAAGAAATAAAATATCATTTCCACAAAAAAACAAAGGACCAAAGTTTCTTAAACACTAAAAATTATTCATTTTATTTTCATTTATGTAGTTTATGGGGACTGGGCTGGGGTAATACACATAGTACGAAGTGTACAGAAAAAAGTTCTATGGCGACGAAGACTTCGTTTTGTGTAGAAACGAATTTCTATTGAATAAAAAGAGTTCATATAGTATATATTTGGCGGGCGCATTTTTAGCTCTTCTGAGCCAAAGGCTCAAAGAGCTAATGCTATGGCCATTTGTGTGGTGTGCGGTGTGCATAAACTTTTCAGAATATGGGCCATAACTCAAGAACCCCTTGGCCAATTATTGTCAATTTTGTCACAGGGTAGCTCCCATTTATACTAAAACTAGGGTTATGACCCTTAAACAAAGGGAGATAATTAGGAAAATAAAAACAAAAGTACTGGTTGCTAAAAAATTTTCTTCTCAAGAAACACTGGGCAGATTATCACCAAACTTACACAAAAGGATGAGGATATGTTGTAGATTAAAATTTGCACGGGGAATCACCCTGGGGCAAAAGGCGTAGTCTCAAGGTCACTTCAAAGTTGACCAAAAATTACATTTTATTAAAATGTTGATATTTGGCTTACTATAAGGACTAGGATCATCAAATCTTGTCAGTTGATGCATCTAAGGACCTCATATCATGTTGACTCAAAAGTAGTTTACTTTTTAACTTTTGTGGCCATCCTTTTTCAAAATGATTGAGAGGCATATATTTTGAACATGTGACTAGGATAAGGCTGTCCATAAAATATCAGACTGTTCCAACTGTAATAACTTCTCTGAACTACCTAGATATGACGTCATAATAGCATATGACGTCAAGTTACTGCATACTTGAGCTGACATGAAGGGGAAAATGTCATAACTCTTACATCCCTTTCACATGACATTTAAAGATTTTTTAGTGTTGTTGTTTGATTCAAGTGTCTTGATTGTTCTTTAAGCTTACATTTGCTGCTATGATGTTGAACCTTTGCAATTTAATATCGTTATTCCTTTAACTTGTCCGATATACATATAATCAAACAATAACAAAAAATTGAATGTGAAACGCCCCCACTTACACGTCCCTGGACAGAGTTAGAATTTACAAATCGAGTATATATTTGACTGGCACAAGTGACTAATAAGGATAAATTGAAGATATTCTGTGTGAATCTACTAGAGAAGTATGTCCTCTAACTGAATTTTGCTGGGGGATTGTATGTAATTTATCCGATTTTGTATAAATTGCGATAAAGAGTGGAAATTTTCCCCTTGTATGTGGGTAAGTTGAATTTCTCGTTGAATATTTTCTCAAGAAGTAAAATTCAAACTTGCCCCCAGCACTTTATATGTTCCAAAGATTTCGATGAATTGACTTATGTGACAAATTTTTCTCATTAATGTTATTTTGCACTTGTGCCGATGCAATTTTTGTGCAACATTAAGGAATTTATAAGTGTCCATCACATGATCAACAAAGTCATGTGACATCACAAAAATGCATTATTATAATACCTGATTACACTCTCATCACAAGTTGACTGCAAATTCATACATAGATTACAAATTAAAATATTTTCGAGTACTATTTGGCTTAGAATCATCAAACTTTGTCAGTTATGCATCTTGGGTCCTCAGAGTAGAACAACCAAAAAGTAAGTCACCTTGACCTACCTCTGAAATTTTATGGCTGTATTTAATAGTTTCGGGTACTATTTGGCTTAGGATCATCAAACTTTGTCAGTTGATGAATCTTGGGTCCTTGGAGTACGTCTACTGAAAAGTAATTCACTGTGACCTACTTTTGAAAATTTATGGTTATAATTTAAAAAATATTTTAGGTATTAATTTGCTTAGAATTATCAAACTTAGTTGATGCATTTTTGGTCCTCAGAGAATGACAAGTGATAAGTAGGTCACCATGACCTACTCTCAAGTACTAATTGGCTTAGAATCATGTTGGGTTCTCAGAGTGTTTCATCTAAAATGTAGGTCATGATGACCTACCTTGGAATTAAAGACTTTATCTAAATACATGTATACAGGATACTTAGAGGCTACAAATAGAAGTGATAGGTTGTACAGTTTATCAGAAGAGCGATTCAAGGCCCTTGGGCCTCTTGTTATTTCCTTTATTTCAAATATAGAAGACCAAAATCATAGTTTTCACCCCCTCCTTCTCTCTCTATATATAATTATACATATATATCTTTCTCTAATTGCAAGTTTTACTTTATGTTTTGGATTCTAAATAAAGTGACTGTTAATTAATTAGCTTCATATCATAAGCAACCCTTCATCATAAAGTTCTCAAAATGCTAAGACTTAATAATTCTACAAAATGGTAGCTTATTAACATATCTATTTTCAAGATCCCCCCCCCCCCCTCCCCTTCCTGGAAATAGCGAAGTAGAAACACAGATATAAAAATTTCAAGTGACAGGGAAGATCTTAAGAATTTCGTGAATAAAATTCAGTTCTGCTGATGT